ACCCCCCCCCCCCCCCACTTCAAATTAAGTGATGAACCTCATTAATTACGGATTTTTTTTATTAATTACGGAATTTAGGCCTCAAAAAAGAAAAGATAAGTGCTTTTTAAAAAAAATATATAGCATTTTTTTGTAACAATTATGATAAATCAACATATACTGACATAAATATATGTGTAAATTAAGGAAAAAAGATCCCTTTTTAATAAAGACCTAAATCTCTCCGCAAATGTCATTTTAACACCAAAAAATGTATTTATGATTTATTTATTTTTATGAATTTCGGTATCCTAGAAAACCCTTCTAAGAAAACTCAAAATATTTTCACCCAAAAAGACCTTTTATTTTTCATCTTTACACAAAAAAAAAAGAAAAAAAAAATATATAAAAAATCATTTTTTTTGCATGTTGTGTAAATAAATAAAAAATGAAGTTGAGAGGTACCTGAGGGATGGCGAGACTGGCAATGGTGAGACCGGAGATGACGTCGGACCTAAAGAGCTTGAGATTGTAAAGTGGACCCCACGTGAAGATGGGGAACAGGCTCTGCAAACACAGAACCAGTTTCGTCCTCCATGTCTGGTTCCTGAATCTGTACAGCGGATCGTCGGGGAAGAAGATCTCCGAGACGCGATGCTTCAGCTTCTGAAACGCCGTTTGCTTCGGCGGCATACAAACGCTGTGTATCTCCACGATCGTCGCGTTCGCGTTCGAAACGCCGGTCGCTGTTTCCGCGGCTGTGGCATTGCAGGGACACGACATGTTTTCTACTCTGTTTGTGCCATGATGACCCATTTTGACTGGTTTTTTTTTCTGGTTTCTTTTTTTTTTATAATTAGAAGAAAATATATGAAAATATGTGAAATTTCGGGTAAAAGATCAAACTTTTTTTTATGCGTTTTTGGGGTTTGTTGGATTTGTGAGGGGAGAGGGTTTCATAGGTTATGTATTTATAGAGAGACGATATGAGAGGGCGGTTCTCTGTCGCAAAAGCAGTCTTTTTTTTTTATAAGGAAAAAGAAAAGAGATTTGTGTTCATTTTACCATTTTTTTTATATAACCTAAAGTAGAAAAAATGTCATCGGAGTGGCATATATAGAGACCATGCAAGATGCAAAAATATAAATTACATAGATTATTTATGGTATTTTAATTCTATAATCCATGGAGTAGATGGAAAGAAATCTACGGATTGGATGTAAAATGATGATGATTATCTATGTATGATGTAAGATATAATATGGATTTATACAAATTAATTATGTTTCCGTGAACGGGCGTTGATTCCCAAGGTGTTAAATACGGAAGGATAGTGGGGCCTCCACTTTTAATGGTCGCCATAAAAATAAATAAATTCTTTTTTATTGAAGTTAATCTTATCATGATTCGGTAGGGTTTGAGACAGAAATTATGGAGCCAATGTCAAAATGGAAAAGGAAAATTAAAAAGAGGAAATAGAAAATAAAAAAGGCATTGTAAAAAACAAATTAATAGTAGTAGTTTGGAATTTTAGTTTTGGGTCTTAATGCTTTGGTCTTTAAAAGTTAAGAAATTATAAAAATATTTTTTTTTATCTAAGGAAAAATTTTGGTAAAAGCATAAAAAAATATATTTTTGTTAAAAAATTTTAAAACCGAATTATTCTTTTTCGAGTTTTGATAAAACCATAAAAACCAATATAACTATAAAAATACGATTTCTGTCCTATCCAAGATAGATATATTGTCTAAAACGAAAACATAAGGTTAGTTGCTATTAACACATATATGGTCCGGTTTAGCATTCTTTCTTTTCTACTTTGAATTTCTATGCTACCGTTATGGAACTTTATATATATATATATATATATATATTATGTGAAAACAAATTAAGAAAATATGTACATAAAATATTGAAAAAGTGCATGAAAATTTATAAATCTAAGCTCATGAATATTACAAAGTGCTGAAACACAGACGAGTTTAAACCAATATATGCAATCTTACAGTAAAATTAATATTTGTTAATATTAAATCTGTTAATATTTTATAACTTCATACTATATTTTAAAAGATTTTTCAACTATATATTAACTTATACCAAAAACTATATATTAACGCATTAGTTCTTGTTTATATATATATATATATATAATATTGATTATTAGGTGTGGGAACTATTTCATCCACTCACATTTACTAGAAGAAAAAAAAATTGAAACAAATATAGAAAAATGGAATCCAATCTGGACCGTTCGTAGTTGAGATTCTAGGTTTGAAGTTTCATGCCTCTCCTTTTTTTTTTCTTGCCTTTTTTTCTATCTCTTTATTTTTATTCCGTTAAAATAAAGTTTTGCATTTCTCTTTTTTTGGCCGTGCAAATTTTTTTTGTTGAACCGTGCAAAATTCTTAAATTGGTTGTAAATTCTGGAATTTCTTTGGTCTTATTATTATTTTAAACAATTTTTCCGTATTTTATTTCCAAAAAATTCACAATATATTTACAAAGTATATGCGGTCAATGATCATTTCTAATTTAAATTATTTTGATTCGAAACGGGAAATTTTATACTATTGTTTTATGTCTTCTTCGCATGTTGAGTTGAAAAGACTAATCCCAACCAATGCACAGTTCAACTCACTGTATTCAATGACACACTCACTCTATTTACAAGAAGAAATATTTAAAAAAATTAATTATTTTACATTTACTGTATTCGATTTTTTTTGGAAATATTACAAAACTATATGAAATGTAATTTTTAAAATAAAATTTAAAAGGTAACGAAAATATACGGGACTGGTGCTCCTATTATGGTTTTAAATTTTTTTATCATGAAAAAAATATTTATTATTAATTTAAGGGAAAATGTTTTTCTGAGTGAAAATAGTAAAAGACTTTATGGAATATATATTTTAAAATTTAATTAAAAAATAATAAAAATCGAATGGGACAGGTGCTCCATGCATTCCCTCTGTGTCTCTCCACGACTCTGTTATCCTTAAAAAAAAAACTAAAAATGAGTACATTGCAAATTTAAACACAATAAATTCATAAATGGGACATTATAAATTGGAATTTATTAAATTCATTTAGATTTTGTTGTGTCGACAAAAGACTATACCTAAAATGTGTTCATCAATGCTACATACATTGTATGTTCGGTTCTTGGAGATCTCTACCGAAATATTTGCATGACGAAATTAATGTTCTTAATAGGTGTGCCTGAATTAACTGCTACGGGTTTATTATCACCTTTGTCATAAAATATTTAACGTTTCTATATTAAAAAAACCTTGCTAATGCACTGAGAAATAAAAAAGGATAAAATTAATAAAAATAATAAACAATTCAACTTTAAAAATATAATGGATTTATCGTAAATTTCTTCAAGGCATTATTTTAATAATCTATAAGTAAAATGAGTCACTTAATGTTTTGACCGTTCTATTTTATGCTAGGAGAAATTATTATAACTTATTAAAGAAAACATAGATATATTTAGCATTATAATTAAATATAAACGGGAGACAGTGAAAGTATAATTAGAGATATAAAAGAAATTTAGTTGACACATTTGAAGATTTTTGAGCCCATATATATACATAAAGAGTGTATCAATAGACTTATATTTGACCACTTTGTTAATCTTTCCTAGTTTTCCAAAACTAAAGCGCCCATTAATTAATCCCAACACTAATCATTACTTATTGAATTGCGATTCATCAATTCCGCTACAACGGCGGTTATATTTTATCTAATAAGAATATAATATATAATATTAATAACGTCAATATTTTATCGTTTTTTTAAATTTTAGAAAAATTATATTTATTTGACCTTATATATATGGGATTTCTGTTAAATTTATTCTGCATTTAAATTCTTGTTTTATTTCATTTTTTATTGATTTTATTTGATTTTTAAACATTTTATATTTCTGTTCTAATATAAATTCTGTAGTTAAAAATAATACCTACATTTTTTTTGTTTCATAAAAAAAAAGAACATTCATTTCATGTTTTTTTTTGGAAGTATGAAAAGTTTGACTGAAAATCGTATCTTACCGACTTATGATTACTATTTTACCTATTTGTCTTTTGGCCCAACATTCGTCACAACTTGCTCCTTTTTAATGATGACTCTGTGAATAATTAGGCCTTAATTACACTAATGATTGTTAATTTTGGTAAGTGTTTTGTTTTCGTATTACATGAGGGTCCCTAACCCTTGGTTAATCTACCCCCACGAAATTAAGCACTGCAATAATTGCATTTATCTATCGTTTTTGTGAAATTAGCTCTATTATATATATATATACATATATATACATGATATAATTGATAACAAGATGTATAGATAGATTTCTTACAGGTTCATAATCACATATATATTTCAACTATACAACTATACTAATACCAAAATAATATATATTCAAACACACACACACACCCACATATATACCTGTGTATGTATTTCGCGTTGGTGTGCAATCGATCATATAAAAAATTGAGAATATATAAACTGTATCTAAACATTCTGGTATAATTGTCTGGTTATCCGGAAAATTAAAAACTACATATAATTTAATTGTGTTTAATAAATATTAAAATTATTTTGTAATTTTGTTAGATATTATTATATCCGGTATTTGAAATTAACAAATCCAAATTTATATTTGTAGTCATGAATATCCAATTTTTAAATAATTTTCGTATCTAATCTCCGCGGCTTGGTTTCTGGCCAACCACTCACCCAAAATGGTAGGTTTCAAGGGACACATATCTTTCCAAAGTTAAAGTGGCCAATACGACTAGCATAATGTATATGTATATATATACACACTGACACACATGCATATATAATTATATATATAAACATAGATATACGATGAATTATTGAAGAATCAAATATATAGATGATAATGACAAAGTGAACAACCATTCGGAGAGTTCCACATGGATTTTGTAAGATTCTTTTCCTATTTATTTTTTGTTGCAAAAGAGACCCGCACTTTATTCCCCATATCTCCCCTTCCCATATAGTTTTCATTTTCTTGACCTTTTTTTTCACGAGTTTTTTTTTATATTTGTTATGCAATCGTCTGTTAGTACTTTTACATATATAGAAAATAATTTAATTAGATAAATAGCCTTACATTTATTCTAATATTTATAGATTTTTTTATTAGTTTGGTCCGTAACGTCTATACCAGGTTGGAAACAATAATATTTTTAAGATGAAAAAAAAAGAGTAATTCTACCCGATATTTAGTGTTCGTTAGATAGATATTTCAGTTAAAATATTTTTTAAATTGAAGAAACAGAGAGAAAAGGGGAGAAAGAGAGTGAGAAACAATTTTGTGGAAATTTTCTCACTTATCTTTTTAAAATCAAAATAAAAACAGTACTTATACAATCTGAAACAAAACGAGCTAGCTAAACCGGACTACATGACGCTAAACCGAAAAACAATAACCAAAATCAAATGAACCCAAAGACATGTCTTCTTATACACTCCCTCAAGATGGAGCATATACATTTTGAATGCCCATTTTGGAGGTCAAATACGCCATCTGATCTATTGTAAGGGACTTCGTAAGAAGATCAGCAACTTGCTCCATTGAAGCAACATGCCTAACCTGTAGAAATCCACTCTTAATCTTTTCACGAACAACATGGCAGTCCAATTCAATGTGTTTAGTTCTCTTCTGATACACGAGATTACTAGCAATATGAATGGCAGATTGCGAGTCACAATACAGAATGACATGTAAAGGAAACTCGACATAAAGCTCCTTTAGCAAAGATGCAATCCAAGTGAGCTCACAACAAGTCTGAGCTAAAGCCCGATATTCCGACTCTGCACTACTTCGAGAAATTGTAACTTGTTTCTTGGATTTCCATG